GTTTAGATTTGACGCTATATCTATTTCCTTATTTGTACACTTCATTTTAAACGTTTCTCTCACATTTACCAGTATTCAACTTATTTCTAAATTAACAAATCATATTATATATTCTATAAGTTTTCATAAATGTACATATGTTCATGCCTGTAAAAATGGCTGGTTTCTGTTACAGAAATAAAAATTATTATTATTAATAGATTACTGTCTCTCCAGTAGGTAGTTGGCACCTTCCAGTTCCGTTCCATCTGCTTTCGCAGATTCTCAACACTTCTATTCTGTACCTTCTCATTTCAGCGGCTATCTGGGCAGCCTTTCCAGTTTCGTACATTGTACGAACAATGCAGGTACCCATCCTTACTTTTGCTTTCATCGAAAGAAGGCAAATCGGCTGATTGGCTTCCCGAGGGCTTCCACCAGCCTGGGTCATTTCACTTCCCCGATTCCAGCGAAAAGTAAGGCTATTGCTTATGTTTTTAGAATTTTTAATATATTCATTCGTTGAAGTTTCTGTAGCGATTTGGTTGTTTTACAGTGGTGGAGTTGCTAGCACCACGCTCTAAGCCCCCTCTTTACTCGGGCTTGGGACCGGATAGAAAACTAGTAAGCTAGTAACCCAGCAAGCTAGTATCTGGTGAGGTTGAAATCAATAGTAGATATGAAATCAATAGTAGATATGAACAACACAATTGTGGATTCCATTGCGAGAACCTGGGTCACACGGACAGAGCTGAAATGGAAAACAAACAGAAAAGCCAACACACCACAAGCATACCCACAGCACAATCTCACACATCAATGACGACCTGCGCCTCCAGACAGAGACCTCCTCTTGACATCTTGCAACACAATCGCCACTTGCTAGAACGACTCTTTCAGAATTCAACGTGACCATAGCACCAACTCATGATACTCTACGCACATCCTCTTATCTACTCACTACCAATTAACACTGCAATCGCTTGTCACTCATTCTGCCTCAGTTCTAGTAGCGGTGACGCATGCGAGCTTCAGTCGTTTACACTCTTTCTCCCCGGCGTGTGGGACGACAGCTAACAATTATCTCCGTGTGCATTTCATTCTCAGAAATAGCCTAGCCTCCACGGCGTATACGCCCCATCTGCTGTCCTTAACATCAATCAATTCATTCATGGATGTAGAAGACTCGAAACAGCTTCAGGAGTAATCACGACGAAAATTTTAACAAAATTACGCAATAACAACAAGATACGAAAACAACAAGTAAACACAATGAATCCAAAAAACACCAATTGATATGACACACCACACATATATACAAGCTGTAAACAAAAACTCGCGGATCACATCTTGATGGAATTCCTTTGAAGAATCGCAGGACTTACACCAGTACGCCTACATTCCTTCTCAGGTTGACGATTGTAAGTTGTGGAATGTCCGGACACAAACAGAATTACCAACAGCTAGATGACAGATGATATCAATTCAGTATATACAATATGAACATATGTACAAGATCATACACCAAGCACATTGGACTGCTCATTGATGCGCTACCCTTTGAAGAATTGTAGGACTTACAGCAGTACGCCTACAACCCTTCTCAGGTTGACGCCCTAGGTTGGAAAATCGTCGCAGAGTTCATTTGCTGACTTCCTTCTATGAGCTAAATCCTCAAATCTGAACAGTAACACGCCCATGTCATTGTATCGTAGAATATAGATGACGAACAAACACACGGCATATCTCATCAACCAAGTGTAGAAACAGAGTAATTTACACCAAAGATAATAACATTCAAATAGTAACTTGAAACTAGAAATGCCTTGGTTCATGCAAGTCAATTTAACAATTACTCTCTCGTTTACACTTGGCTTATTCTCACTAAACTGAGCAATATCTTTCGTCTTTTCAAACGCACCAATACTATCATAGTCATTGCAAAAGATACTTGAGTTGATGGGCATCTGTTTCATTGTGGATGAAAGCACCAACGACGACTGATTGATATCAGTTGATGAAGTTAGCGGTGGATCAAAAGCTGTTGTTGCTCGACTTTCAGAATTTTGTCTAACTGCAAGACCACCACCACTGCTGTCTTTTACTATCAGCTCAGGTTTAGCACTAGCATCTGATGATAGGTGGGCTACATGCTGATCAATCACACTGACGGTCTCACAAGTATTCATGCCCTCTGCAACTTCATCTGCATTTATTTCTACTTCACGTTCAAGTTGTACAGAAACTTTGTTCAACTTAGCGGTAGTAGGCATATCCCTCATCTCATCATGATCAACCAAAGACAACTGTGAAGTATCATGATCATTATCACGAATATTCACTTTACCGTCAACTTCATCATTTTCAAACTCTTTAATAACAGAAGTAGACAATTTTGGTTCCTCCTCACAAATCATTAAAGGTTTTGTATCTTCACTTTGACTAGTTATACTTTGTAAACTTGTGGAGTCAGAACTGCACTCTGAAGCAGTAACTCTATTCTGTGACACTCTATTCAACAATGGCTTACCAGTTGCAACTACAGACTTCTTCACCACACCGTTATCGTCACACAATTCGGAGTCAGACCTGGAGTTTACATTTAGCTTATCACTGAACTTGCTCACCGGTTCACAGTTCACTTCTGTATGCACCTCTTGCAAACGTGTACAACACAACCGTGTTTGTCTTGCATCTTGTAACTTATCTGTTGAGGATGTACTACGAAAGCTGTTACACTCACTAGGTCTATATGCATTACTAGACATCATCGAGCCTTCTCGATATCCACCTCTCTGAGGCCTACTCGTCATCAATGATTGCATTTTGCTCTCAGACTGCTCTATTCTAGGGGTGAGATGTAATAGACTGGCGAACTTGCTCATAGATTGATTGACACTAGTATTTACCAGTTTCAGGATATCATCAAACTTCGGCTCGATACCCTCATCCTCCATACGGGAGGTTATCTTCACTCACTTCCTTTGCAGTCGAGTAGGTAGACGTCTTGCTATTACTTCTAGTATAAAACTCGAGTTGAGATCACTCATGCGATTCATCGAAATCATTCCATTCTTGTAAATTAGCAAATTATCTAAAAACTCAGTGAGTGCCTGGGAGTCATCCTGTAATTGACCACCGTTACCCTTAACAGCGTCGAATAATTTCCCTGCAATCATCGAAGGTCTTCCAAACCTTTGATGTGATATGCTCATAGCCTCAGCGTATCCCTCATTAGGGGGCAGGAGCTCACAGCATTGTATAGCTCTTGAAGCATCTCCAGTGCAATACCTCATCAAATACATTAACTTCAATTCATCATTTAATAAAAGACCACCCAACATGATCTCAAACTCCTTTACAAATTGTAAATAATCGGCCGGGTTTCCATCGAAACACCGTGGTTCGAACTTAGGTAGTTTGATGTTCCTATTATCCATGAACGGCGAAACAGTAACATCAACCATGTCATGCTTAACATCAGACACATCGTTACAATTAACAGACAAGTCACAATGACTTACTTTCCTGTTTGTATCCAAGACACTCTGTCCCTTCTTTGACCCAGGCATTGTTGAACTTGACCCAATTCCAAGAAGTTCCAGATATTGCTTGTTCAAAGAGGACTTGACCGGCACCAGGAAAGATGAACGGTGACTATCCAAACTTTCACCAACTGTCTGAATCCGCCAAAGTCTGTTTCTACCATCAGAAACTGTCAGTCACGTCTCATAAACCGTTAATGCCCAGCTCTTGCTACGCTCAGGCCCACGCTGTTCCTTGCAGTTTTTCAGAAACGCTTAGTAATAACGGACGAAAAAACCAAAACACCGATTGGCCGCTTGGGAATTCTTTATTGTAACATCAACATATAAAAAATATTTCTATTAAGGTCTGTGAACAAATATTACAATAATAAATCATAAGATTACTTCTGATGGTTTGCTACTGACTTCTTTCTGAACAGAGACCGATGAGACGATGACTGTCGTATTGATGCCTCCGCGAAAATTGGGGAAGTTGGTTTGAGCAAGCAACCAAGAATTGATCGTTCAATCTTCAACTCCATTGACAACAATAGTTATTTTAGGCAATTTGAGATTCCTCATACTGCTCCCTGCACAAACGTCATCTATGTTTTTATGATTAAATTATGGATTTGTTATGACTTTAAACTACAAAAATGCAGTGTTATGTGGCCTGCTGTGCGGACTTAATGCTGTAATTATTTGTAATATTAGTGTTTGTATTTCGCAATGACCGAATTAGGGGAATTCAACCTAAACACAGACAGAGGTGAACTTAGGAATTTGTATTTGGCGGAATTATTATTATTCGATTCATATAATAAATGTATTAACAAATAACAGTAAGTATTTAGGCAATACAGAGATAGAAATTGTCAATCACCGCATTGAGCGACATTTTTCACAAATTTTTCCTGTCGTTCCAACGACCTGCATAATGACGATATCATCAGGTCAAAAATCAGTAAGAAGACTGTCTTGGAGAGTATCCATATGCTGAACTGATCAGTACAAACCATAATAAAGTACCAAATGCTGTATAAAACAAACGATTTTGTAAAATTGAAGTGATATTTCGATTTTGTCATAATTAGAAGCATCGGATACAACTACCACTTTTGTTCCTTGTTATATAAAGTAGTATTTGCAAACGTTAACAGTGGCTTGGACTTCACCACTGATCTTGTTCCTTTATGAACTTGAATTTCACTGGTTTATTTGATCTTTCTTAACCACACTTATTTCGACCATTAGTTAAAGTGAGGGGAATGGAAGAGTTAAATTTCGTTTCGCATTGGTTCGCGTAAGTGAAAATGACATCCAATGCTCCTGGTATTTTTATTTTGCACAGAATTGTAGTAAGACAATAAAATCTTTACAACAGAAAAAACTGCCGAATTGTGGCATCTTTAAAAAGGTAAATCTATTTCTTTGACTTCCGGATGAAAAATGGGGCCTCAAGCTCGAACTTTGGAGTTTCGGTAGGGTTTGTGGTGTTCTTACAGGACGTGGTTGCCAGCTTCACTGTCCACCTTCATTATTTAGCAAGCTTGCTACTGACTACCCAAGGTTGAAAAGGCGGAAAAATTATACACCTCAACCTGACATTAAGAAAAGATGGACCCTTTTAAAATCAGTTACTTCAAAATTTCCTGGGTTACTGTGTGAATATATTTTGGTAAGATTACTTTGGCATGTGGTTTTACAGATGGATCCAACAAAAGGAAGAATGTGTAGGCACAGATTCCTGGCAGAAATTGCCTGACATTAACTGCAATTCTGTGTGTTCCCCATCAACGACTACATTGTATATTGGAACTACTTAGGCGGGTCGTTTATTGCGTGTGTTACTTTTAAAACATATGTGATCCGATGTAGACTTTGTACGAGTTATAGTTGGTGCGATGAGCGCTTTAAGGCATCTTATATTTCTCCACTTTGTGCTGAATACGAACTTGTTTGCTGTTATTGTTGTCGTATGTTACATTATTTCGTTTTTATTTGATTCAGAAAGACCTAACTGCAGATAAGTTCGTCCGAAAATTTGAGGATGCGGAAGCTCTTTTTGGTGCACCAGTAGTTCAAGAATCCCTGTTGCTTGTATGTTAAATTTTAAATCGTCATAAGTACAGGGTCGAATGCACGCTGCTAATCCACTGGACGGTTGTGTAAATGAGATTCCTCTGCCGCCGAATGCTTCTACGTCATCTCTCCCATATATATCACTTATCAAGCGTGGAAATTGTTCCTTCATCGAAAAAGTATCAGCAGCAGAGCGGGGCGGTTATATTGCAGCCATTGTTTACAATGACGTAGATGATGGGTATTTTCCCATGGGTTTCAATTCATGTAACGTGTAATATCATACATTTATTTACTCATTAGCATCCAGAGAGGTGAATATTTCTGCAGTAATGATTGGACTGCCCGATGGTGAAATGATACGAAATAATTACTGTACTTCGGAGTAAGTTTGTTCCAGGCCTTGCAGTCTTGAGAAGCATTGTATTTTACCAGTTAGTGTTACCGTTTTCATTTAAATTACCTATTCATTTGCGTAATTCCCTGTTTCAGGTTTGATCGTAGTCTGTAAATCAGGTACTACTGGACAGATACATCGTCCTAGTTTGGGACTCCTTATTTCGTAACCACAGACGCAAATAGGATCAAACCCGAGAGCTTCAGGTTACGAGACCAACCTTGACTATATTGATCAAATCCCTGAGAATGCACTCTTTAAAATCAGTCTGAGGCTCACTAGTGACCGATTACAGAATAAAGTTTCTTGAAGTTCTTGTGAGGAACTGTGACCAGTGGGGTCAACCAAGTTAGGTTTAAAGACTAATAATTGCCGTGGTTCCGTAGGATGAAGTACATCTGCATTAGGTTTAGTATTGCTTTATGCATCACTGGGTGTGGCTGGTGAGATTATACAACTCATTAGCTTGGAACGTTATTGGATATAGCTCGTGATCGAAGTCAGTTGTAAACATGCAGCAGTTTTATCCTTTTTCTTCTCTTTGGAAGTCATATGATCCAATGGGCGTTCCTTTGAATGTTCCTGGCGAGTGTACTTACCCATTTTAGGCTGTTTCTGAGTTACTTTATTTTATCTATTATTGCTTTGTTATTTTTATGTGGGACGTCTGGATGTCCATGTTGTACCAAGTTTGTTTTAAAGAACAACTTAAAATAGATGAATCATAAAATAAATCAAGCATCGTCCGGTGATAAAACGGTCTATTTAATTCTTTAGAATTACATGATATGCAAGAGAGCATGCAGAGAAGCGTCCACTACAATTTAATCGAGCGGTGAAATTTCCGCTTCAAAATTTAGTATTATTTCTATACCATCAAGTTCATCTCATCTGGTATCGGAACCTGAAACTTGTAAGGTGAACTGATCGTATAGTTTTGAGTGAATAAGCACACTCATATGTTGTAACAGGCAACCAGCAGGCACACCGTAATGAAAGCAGAACACCAACTGCACAGGAAAGAGTTTATTCAGCGAGAATGGACTTTTTAAAAAGTGCGGGGTACAGTTTTAGGGAATTACAGTTTTACTGAGCTTCATTAATGTTCAGGTTCTGCAATTCCTCGTCCAGGCAGTTGACTCCCTGGTGTCTTCCTGCAAGTAGAGAAAATAAAACATTGATTAGTGTTACAATATTAGTTTTGTTTCTCTTACAATGTGAGCATGTCGAAAATATTCAAAACATGTACAGCTGCAGATGGGATTTCTCCCCTTGTTTGTCATAAAGATTGAGTGTTTAACACTGCCATGTGAAGTTAGCACGTTTGTTTAAAAAATAAAAAAAGATGTTTCTCTGGTGTAAGTTGCCAGGTGTGGTCATGTGATTAAGAGAAGTTGAATTATGAGTGTATAGTCATAAAAGTTGGAAAGGTAGTAAAAATCGAGGAAAAGGCACAGATGAGGAAAGTAAACGATGAAAATCTTAGTTGTGTTAGTGAAGGTTACTGAATATACTCGCTATCTGTATCAAAGTAAGCCAGCAGTTAACACATATAGAATACTTTGCTACGAAGAAGCAACGAACATATGTGGAAGATAATACGAGCTCGTTTTGTTTTGTGGATTCTCACCAACAGTATACAGCCTAACCAATATTAAAATGCGCGTTACAAAAGGTGTGAATGTATTCTTATCATATTGACTTCACGTTATTGGTAGAAACTGCTAGCAACATAATTCTGGCATGATGTAAGTAACAAAATTCACTGTTGAAAAAAGTAACTAGTTATGGTATAATTAGACAAGAAGAGGGCGGAAGGAGACTTCAGACTTTGTTTAGAAAGAATGATTAGTGAGAGACAGAATACAACATAGGAAAACATTAAATCTATACAAAAATAGGTCGGAAGGTTCGAGGAAGTGGAAGGAAAAAGTCGAAGTAAGACTGCGACATAAACAATTATGTAAATTTTCACGGAATATGACCTAAAGAATCAGTCAACTATCCAAACTCTAACTGATTAACCTTTAGTTATTTTTTTCAGTTCTTTCTCTGTCACTGCCTTATTGGTTTATTAAAGCAAAAATGTAATTTTCTTTTGGAATTTTTTTATAGTTACTTTGCTGAAATCTTACCTACTCGACACCGAAATATCACGCTCTATCTTATCCCATTCATAACTTGTGTGCTCATATTTGTAGTTGGACTGGGTACAGCGTATATAGTTCGCTGTTGGAATCGATATAGAAGACGACATCGGTTTTGCTTACCTGTTAGCGAGTTGAATAAAATACCCGAATCTGTATTTGAAAAAAGTGAGTTCAATAGTAACTGACGTTGAAAGAAATAAACAGATTATTTATCGTATTTCAGTTTACAGTTATTGAACATAATCGCTCACTGAGAACTGTTGCACGCTTCACTTGATCAGTTAGACGTTTCAGTCGATCGTGTTAAAGTGTTCTTATGAATAAATCAGCATCAATAAAATAGGAGGTTTGGGAAGTTGTATCATTCAAGAGATATAATTCATTGATGTAGGTTTCTGTCTTTCGACCAATGATTACAAGTCTCAAATAATTTTCAATTAATTTTCGATCGGTTGAATATTACACATCTCTCGGGTAACTAGTGTGATTCACAAACTGGTTTACGTAATTTCGCATGGTGATCAAGCTGCTCTTCTTTGTGAAAAGTCGTAATATTCTCCCCAAATTGAAAAAGCTGTCTTCAGTTTCATTTTTCTGTAGTTATTTTATTGTTACACTAAGAAAAATGCTAGGGCGTCGTATTGGTTGTCCATTTACAATAAAACAATAGGTTATGAGAATAGTTTAAGCTTACTGTGCGTCACATATTTTAATTTATTAATGGCTGCTTACTTCATCGGTTACTTTGGATTGATTCTGAGCTTTTTTGTCGTGATCCAAATGGAGTATAGGGCTTCAACCTCTTAAATTTCAGTATCGGTAGTGGTGTTCTCGCTTGGTTGGGTTGCTGGCCTCATGCCCAACCTCCTCTCAATTCCGGGTTTGCTATCAGCTAGTAAGCAAGGTGAGGCTTCGGAGTGCGCAGACCGGAATTCAAACTCAGACCTTCCATGTGGAGGTTTGTCTAACCATAAAGCAAAGTACTTATGGTGGTAAGTTACATCTCTTCGATTACATAAGTGGTTGGTCTGTCAAGTTGGTCGAGAAACGTCAACATTTTTATACATATAAATATCCATATTTTCCTAATCACTTTTTGGCGCAGTTTCATTATAATACTAGTTAATTGATTCCTTAGTTAAGAGTCTACTGTCTGTTTTCACATTTGATGTTATCCACTGCATCGCATGAGGCGTAGGTTGCCCTCAAGCCAGGCATATGGTCAGCGTTCGACTCCCGGCTAACGCATTCCTAAAACCAATAGAGGAGGAAAGTTGGACGTAAGGCTAGCGACCTTACTCCCTAAAAACAATACAACAGCTACTAAGATTTTAAAGCTTGGAGCTGTATGTTCTACTTGCAACTCAATGGAATAAGTTAAAAAAAGACTACTGCGTTGTGTATTGTGTCAGTAGTATGCAAGTGTGAAATTCAAGACACTATCGATTCATTAGACATTTTTTTTCCCGTGAATTGTGAGTAAATGTTTTCGTTAACTAATAGTTTGGCATGTGATCTTAACATCTTTACTATTGAAATCAATGCAATTCTATGCAAATTGGCAAGTCTCCTAGCCATCATTATAAACATGTAAAATATTTCTACACGCATAGTTTTATCAATATTTTACAACTGTTTTTACTAGTCCACGTCAGAATGAATCGCTTAATTATTTCATATATATATTAAACAATATAGTTTCACTTTGTGAATTTAAATTTTATGCACTAACCATAATCTGTTGATTAATTAGGGAAGTTTGACTTTAAATTATTCAACAATATTAGACTTGTTTTCAGAATGTATTTCATATACATTTTGATGCATTGTTTACATTTGGTCTCTATTTTAGCATTTCGATAAAAATAAACGTAGTTAGGTAGTAAATGATCATATAATGCTCTAAATATACAGCGTAAATTATTATTTATAGGATACCTGAAGGACTAGCTATGCAACATTCAATGGTTTTATCTAGTGGTTGTATTAACTAACCCCAATCAACTTCCAAGCCAGAATGACTGTGGTGGCGACTGATAGGTTCTTGAGAAAAAAAAACTCAAATGGGTTGGAATATTTCTTTTAAAGCTTAATCTGTGGAGGTGTTCTTCATCATGATCTAAGTAACAATGGTCTATTTAGATTGTAAACGAAGCACAAAGATATTTCATATAGTCCCCTTTTGACCTCTATGCGAATATTTAAGTCAATGGTTCAAAGTTTATTCCTCTGACCAGACCAACGCTTAGTCAGACTGTATCTTTAACAACTACACGCATTCGAGTTATGTATATTTGTCTAATGTAGGATGATTGATCTCATAACAAGTCATAGATTTAAGATATGATTGCTTGAAAGTACAGAGTTGTATAAAACTGATGCCTGTAGTTATAATTACGGTATTTCATGTTTCTAGAAGGTGGGAGAGTTAATATATAGTGATTTCTTTTCTTGTTGTTGTGAAATTCACTCCTTACTGGTGTGGATTGAGTAATTCGTTGGTAAAATTATTTATTTATAGATTCATGTGAATATGAAACATGTGTGATTTGTTTGGAAGATTATAAGGATGGTGAAAAATTGAGGATATTACCATGCAAACATGGTGAGTGAAGTTTAGTTTTAGCTATCTTAGTCAATTTTAATTGTTAATGTTAGTGAAATAGTTAATGTCATCTTTTCTTTTCATAAGGCTTGTAGTTAACGAGAAGTTGACTTCTCAATTTTTGATTAAATTTTATCAGTAGCAAATTTATTATATATTACCCTTTAAACGACCTAGGTGGACTTTGGTCTTCTTCTCGGAATGCTCTCATGTAACCACGCGTTGATAATCTCTTCCAGGTAATTCTGGTTTACTACCTTCATGCGGCTGGGGTGTTCCTCACAAAAGAGTGAATAAAAGCATTTGGACCTTGAGACTGGACTGGTAGGAGTGGCGGTTTACCTAGGAGAGCTGAAATATCGTGACTTTAAAGCTATGCTGTACGTGGTCTCTAGAGTCCGAAGGGATCCGAAGTCATATAAATCGGTTTAGGTGACTGTTGGTCGTGAGAATGTTGCTCCAATGCGTTCTGAATCAGGCTTCAAGTCGAAGGATCAATGGGCATTGGGTACGAGCCTCGGTGGGAACATCAACACTCACTGTCGAATGCAGGTACATCCAGATGACGAATCCCAAATAGGACGAAATGTGCACCCTGGATTCCACTGCTAGTTACCATCCACCAATTAAATTTTAATTAGATTTCCAGGCATCATCGAGGCATCTGCACAAGAGGGCGACATGTCAACCTGAGACCGAGCACTTCGGTCCAATCAATTGATGGGAAAATCTAAAATTCAGTTAAATAATGAATGGGTAGCTCTTTACGACAACTATAATAATAATGTGCTTTATTCCAAAACAGTACAAATGTTACAGTGTGACATTTTCAGCATTTGGTACATTATTACATCCAATTTTATCGAATAATATTAAAAATAATAATGAAGATAGTATTACAGGATTGTTAATGACAGTTCTTATTTGGTATTAGTTGTGACAGTCAGATCATGAACACAAAAATTTATAAAATAATGGTGATAATGTGTGTTGCTAAGATTATCAGTCAATTATATCGTACAACATTCGGTCTGGGCGTCTGGGCAGTATCCTAGCCCTTGCACAAACTAGAGGGTTTTGTTTCGCGCTCCTTTTGGTACCCGTAATTTGCGAAGTGTGTGGTTTATAATAATAATGTGAGTAATTAACTGCTTTGTATTTGTTATCATGCATGTTGTCATTTTCTATAATAAGTTTGTGGTAAATGGTATACATTACTTTTATTTTACAGCATACCATAGCAAATGTGTAGATCCATGGCTTGTAAAGCGTCGTAGTTGCTGTCCTATATGTAAGAAGAGAGTTCGTAATCAGCCTAGAATTGATATTTCACGCTTTACACGGCTGCGACGAAATTCTGCTACTACTTTAGAAGCTCCACTTTTAAATGACTCATCCTCTTTTGAAGAAGATTCGGATTTAGAAAGCAGTGGTTCAGCTGATCAAGATGATATAACTTTTTCTACAGGCGATTCTCCGGAAACTCGTAGTCTGGCTCCAAATGAACGTACTCCACTTATTAGCACAAGCGCTTATCGACCCAGTGATTCAACACTTCAACGCATGAAGGATGCCGCTTTGGTTTTTGAAGGTTTGGAAGGTACTCTTGGAGGTGGGTCTAGTTATCCTTCCAGTGGCAGTACTTCCTCCAATCATATGGAGCGACTAAACACGCGGCTGCACCCAAAGAATTACAATCTGAATACCCTATAGCAGCTAGTGAACCTATGCAGAAAGGTTAGTATTTTCTTTTCAAAAACATTTTTTAATATATACTTCTTGACTCGGGTGCATCAACTGATCGTTCAAAGTTAGGGAGTGGAGTGGTCAGAAGTGCTGGTAGCTTCACTTAGGGATTTGCTTTACTAGTTGCAGACAAAATCTAAGGGCTTATTTACAAGATATTTATTGGCTGCCATCATATTTACTACGAGATTTCCAAGTGTCTGTCAGAGGGATAGTGTACGACATAGCTACCAGTTCTCTTCTACGATGCAGCTGCAAATCTTCCTCGAGTGAGGTTTGTGAGCGATGTTATGTATCTTGGAAAACTGTCTTTGTCGACTGATATTGTAACCTAAGTAAAAAAGAGGTTGGTGGTGACTAGGACAAGGTTTTGTGTTTACGTGTTTATCTACCTAACTTCAGTAAAAAACCATACTATTGATCTAGTCATTTCACATTCACTTATTTTCCTGTGTGAATTTGAATGAAACAACAAATGGAAAAGATGCTACACAATGTCTCCAACTTTTCACTGATGGTTGCAGTGAATGTGTCCTTTATAGTTCCGTCCTTCAGTTCATTAGCTTGGAACTTAAATTGTTATCTTTGAAGATTTTCAGCTTGACCTTGAAGGTTTCTTCCACTAAATAATGGTGTAACCCCACATTTTGCTCCTCATCCTCTCGATTTTGTGTTTCTTCTCCACATTTTTGAGAAATTAAATGAAGTTTTATCTGGTTTTTGGGGTGCCTACCTGGCGTGAAATCGATGTCGCCTTGTGTATTTATTTCCTTGTACTTGTAAACTTTGCCGCCCCCTAATCACCAAATAATTTAAGGTGCAGAAGTCTGGAAGTTAGTTTCCTCAAAATCGTTCTCAATGACTCAGATGCATTCACTCTCTGTGATCCTCTATATCACATTTGTTCCCATTTTACTAATGTTTCCACCTCTTTGGAGTATTATGAATCATTTTATGGCAGTTATTGAATATAGTGATGCTGTATTATTTGCTGATGATGTTTCAAGAACATATTTTATTATTCATAATGGCATCATCAAGGCACTCACATGACTTTCAAACTTTATATTATTCCATTATTCCTTAACGTTAGATTTCATTGGTAATAATATTTATCATATTTGTGTTATTGGCGTTAAGCGTATGTTAGGTGTGGATTCAAACGGTGGTTAACTGATATGTATCCACATGATGTGTGTGTTTTGTTGTTGACAGTCTATTATATTTTGCTATGTGAATATGAATCGATATTTCATTATGACTGACAATATGCTTTTGTCTGTCCACTAACTAAATAAACATGTATGACCTTGTTATCACATGACATTACAACCAATCAGAATCCAATGAGGGTAAGGTAAACTACCTATCTGTCTTATTGCTTCATGTGTATTAGCCATTTTCGTATACACTTTGTATTGTACACTTTAACATTCTTGTTTCCCACGTTCGTACACTAAGTACTGTTTCACTCACACTGTTGTGTGACAATTATTTTCCTTGTCTGGAAAATACAAGTATCATCGTAAACCTAGTGGTCTTCTGATTTCTGTCTTTCCGCGTCAGGATTATTAACTACTCGACGAGTACATAACATAATTGGCGACGGGGAAAACTACTATTAACTCACTCAGCAGCAGTACATAACATTAACATCTCTCTCTACCTACCTATATAACTTTTTCGAACTGTAGTTCTGACTTACCCTACAGTGTGATTGTGTGTTCTTTCATGCATACTTTGTGATTGCTGAGTTGTTCTCTCTAAGCTATTCATTTTCTTGGAGTTAATTATTCTAAACTTTACTAAATTCCTGTATTTCGATAACCTAACCGATACCGAACTGCTGGTCTAACTTTCGTAGTTTACCTCATAGTTGTTATTACAAGGTATTTTGTAGTTTGACTTATTTTGTCTAGTTGTGTCGCCGGGGTCTTTTAGCCTACAGAACTCTTTGAGTGAGTTTTTAGGCCTAACTGCCACCTCATATGCCCCTTACCTCTATTTTTGTTGGTGAAATTGTGAGATGCCTTTAATTCCTTCTTATTTTTAATTTCCATTTTTCCTCGTCTTAACGATAGATGAACTAAAATGGAGTAAAGCAGCGGCAGATGGAACAGAAGAAAATACCAACACTGTGATGAATACTTCATCATTACCTTCAACAGAAGTAACTCATGTTGAAGTACACACCGATAGTGATGCATGTCTTCATCAACCACAGGTATAAAGTGATTCTCATCGCTCTTTATTATCTGATCTAATTTGATCTGAACTTTTTAAAAAAATATTTTTTGTTTTCTTTTAACTCTCAGCTATTTATCTTTTTTTAACATACATTTTTAAAACAGACATTTTTGGATTTATATTTATATATATACTTCAGTTTATCGATATATATCAATCTGTCTGACTACCTATAATATCTCTCTGTCCAGGAAGCACACAGACGGCTTTGTTTCCTATTTATATTATTAATAATCCTTACCAATTTACGTAACTCATTGGCTCACTAAAAACACTCACTCCCTTTTCTCCTCATTCTCCGATAATTTTATGCATTACAAGAAGAATTTCTATTGATTTTTAATTGCTACTATTATTAATTAACTATTAAGTTTAATTACAGTGTCTACACATCATTTTATGCAATACCCTACGCATGCATTGTGTCTAAAGAGCCATTTCACTCGCTCGCTCACTCACACATACACAGACACATATACAGTCTTTACGTACATCCAATTTTAGTAATCTCTCGTTTTTTCGCTATGTGTATAAATCGATTTCTGTGTAGAGATTTACGTGTTTATTTTTTATTACTGTTATTCTTGCAATTATTATTATTACCATTATTACTACTGATATTTTGGTTTGTATTATGATAGTGGATAGGCTTGTACTTGCTCATTTTACAGGTTAGAAATTGTTCAGTAGTCCAGACTTTATTCAGTATGTTTTACGTAGAAGATGAATTCTCTGTCAACTTTTCTCATAACATTTCGACTTTTTATTATTTTTTACTTCTTTTATTTCTTTTGACGGAAATTCAGGATGCTTTTATCTTTTTTTTATTTAAAGAAAAAAGTTTAGCTATAATGAATTCGGTTTGTCATTTTCCCCAGGCCATCGAAAGTGGAGTTTTCAAGTGGTTGGCTTGGATGGATTTTGTAAGTTTTAAGACTGAGCATGAATTTACTTTGTTCAGAGAACCATTCGAAGAGAAGGATTAAGTGACATGTGTTTCGTCTCTGTATGGTACTCCTCACCAGTAGTCACTATGACACTATTAGGGTTTGAGCTCGGGACCTTCAGGTTATAAGACGATGTCATTGGCATTTCAACCAGTTGGATGAAATCCAATGGCCCGTGAATTCTCACTTCTTCCAGTTACCGATATGTAGTACTATCGTTGGTCAATCTCATCAAGAAGTATTTGTCCTAACGCCCTACTTGATGTGGTATGGTCCTCTAACTGGAGACAGTTTGTGCTGAGTCTGTTTAGTGACTATATTAATGAAGTATCGTGTAAACAGCAAGCTAAGCTTTGAAACCAAGAGGAAAATAAAGACAAATTTAGTTAAATGGTAGTTTTTCTTATGAAGAGGATTTACGCACTGCAGGTAAGGAAGAATCGGATAAGAGTAGAAAATTGTTACAGTATAAGAAGGTTGAATCTTATAATTGAAATTAGTTGGTGTGTTGGTTACAAGACACATCACATAAAATATGATTAATTTTCTGTTTTAGTGGATTTCAATGTTGTAAGCGATTTCATTAGGAAGTTACACACACACACACACTATGTATATATATATATATATATATATATATATATATATATCAGTTAGGTTGTGGGTTTTGTAGGGGTCTGGGTTGGTTTGAACCAAAGTTACTTACAGATCACTGAAACCCAGGGAGCAATATACAGCTATTTCGTCTTAGTTTGAGACCGCTCAGAGTTGCTTCCCAACGACCCCACAAGGGATGAAACCTGGTAACTTGCATCCACTTTGTCTGGAATTTCTGACTTTGTCATTTCGTCATTTAACATCATATATATATATATGTATGAGGGTATGTAAAAAACTACCAGTATATTCACCGTTTGTTTAGTATAACAGTTAGTTGTGACGATTCTTCATATGTCCTTTAGATAATATTTCTGTATAACGTTGTGGGAAACCGAAAAGTATTCGTTTGTCTAAGTTATCACAGCCAAAGTCAAGGAGAGCCAAGAGTTGACCTTCAGAAACCAATCAGATTTAGGGAACTCTTGAAAAGTCATTCCATATCAAATCATACTTGCTTTATTGGATTCGGTGAGGTATTCTACTTATTCCTTAGGTACTTTTTCTGTAAATCTGTAGGGATAGGTTAAAGAACACGGTCGGAAGTATCAATAAATCCCAAAATACCTTGGTCTGCAGTCACTAGGATGAATACATCTATGGTGTTTTGGAAGACATTCTTACAACGCATAGCGAACATCTAGTGAGATAACTTGTTTACAATAGTAAAAAAAAATGTATTTTAACGATTATGTGAATTTTTAGCATCTGAATTCCAATTGGTTGTTCAAGGTCACAATGATTTTGTTTATAATATTTGAATTTCACCGTCATTTTTCTACCGATCATAATTTTTACATATTTCCAACTTGATATCCTCATGACTGTCTAAAATATGTAGGTGTATAAAAGAATATTCTACAAGAATTTGAACATCTTTATTAATTTAGTGTTAAAGTTTACTTTAAAAATTTAAAGTGATATTTCTCTGAATGCTTTCCTATATTCTGACCATATTTTTGACAATGGAATTACTAAAATCAAAAGTCATTGAACTAACTAATCCCTAAACTGTCTATTTGACTTGATTTTGGAATAAGCAGTTGAATAATGCAGCTTCTTAAAGCATGGATACACGAATGCCAACATAATCACCCCCCCTTGAGTTATTTTCTCATTAGTAAGTTAGGTATGAGAATGCCAGAACACAAATACTGGTTTTTCAATTCAAAATAAGTTTTATTTGATAAAAATACAATACAGTAAATGGATCAAACAGGGAATTGTCTAGTCAGATCATTCTGAATTCGTGGAATCGTTTCTTTGATGAATTGATGAAAAAAAATCGAAGTCTTGGTCTCTTTAGACAATTATTGTCCACTTGAAGAGTGAACTTAATTCTGGTATTTAACAGTGAATTATGGTTCAAAGGATTGATTCCATTGAAAAATATCCAACAAGCTACGTGCTTTGCCATGTGGGTTTTTGGATTGTCATTGAATTAAATTTGCAGGTTAACTCTCGATTTGCCAATTTACACAGTTCGAGAAGTCGAAGCTTCATAAACGACAATTAAGGTAGTCAGCATTAATGCATGGTGTTCTACGCTATCGATTGTTTGATATGCATAGAATACGACATTCAATGCATGCTTACTTATTTGACTACCATTTATGGTGTCAAGCAAGTTAAATACTATGGTCTGAATAATTTCGTAAAGATAACTGTGGTGAAATTTCACCTCGAACTATGCAATTTGCAAATTTTATTTAATGTGATATCAACACTCGTGTTGTTAGTCATAATGCAGATGGATTCAACTGATTCTGCCGTCTGAGCTAAGTTAAACCGGGTACACTGCTGATGATGAGCTTGGGGCTAGACGAGTAAAACAGCCGTTCGGTTTATAGGTCGCTTCAGTTAGGCTGACAAATGCTCTTGTTTTATGTGAACGGCATCCAACTACTCTCAGGCTGACTAACTTGTTTCAACGTAAGACGTTGCACAGATGTGTACCAGTTCGAGTTGTCACATTCCATGCAGCACACAAAGCAAGAGAAGAGGGTAAAGAGAGATAATAAACAAAAATATGAAGCGAAAAGAATTGTAATATGGAAGAACAGTAGAATTTTATTGCATATTATAAATCAAAAAGAGTGATTGCATCTGCGCCAGTCATTGAGAACGATTTTGACTCAGATCACCGATTGTCTTCAGCTATTGCTTTTACCATCCCGGGACCCCAATCCGGAAGTCTACACCTCCCAACGTGGCTAGCTTAAACTAACTGTTGACTGATGAGGCGATGTTTTGGTTTGATCACCAGTGGCTCTTTTCTAACCCGACCCTATGTCAGCTAACAATGACCGTCGAGGATGGTGATAGCTAGGCTAGGCATGCGCAACATATGTCCCAACCACCTCGTCCATTGTCTCCCCCTCCTTACCTAACACTCGATGTCTAACCTCAATATCGCTCACTCTGTTATGCCACGCGACGCAAAAGATAGTACGCAGGCACCTATGATCAAAGACAGCGAGCCAAGCATTTCAAGACTTCCACTTTCAATGGCCATGTCTCGCAGTCATAAAGGAGGTCAGGGAGAACTGCTGACTAGTACACACGCCTTTTGGTAGACAGCCAGATGGATATCACGTCTAGCAAGCCAGAGATGGCGTAAGCTGGCATATGCTAAACGAGCCTTGTGTATTTGTGTTGAGATTTCGTCGGCGGTCTACCCTATGACACTGGCTGATGCAACTTCCCAAATAAGTGAGGTGGTAATGATTATGATAATAGCTTTATTCCAAAACAGTACTTGCGATATAGAATGGAATTCTCAGCATTTTACTACAGTTGTGCATCCGGTTAGTAAATTAACAATAAAATAAAATCCTACATAGATTAAGGTAATCTCAGTTAGTTTTGACAACAACATATTAGTATGTTGGCAAAGCCAAAACTGAACAGTGCTTGAAAGTGTTAGAAAAGTAGGTTCTAGCGTATTTACTGGCGTAAGCAGAAGAAAGAAACAAAGCTGTACATAACAGAAAAAGAGAGAGAAAAGGAAAAGAAAGAAGGAAAACGTTGTACCTATAAATGATATGAGTTGGAAAGACGAGATCCAGTTGTTCAACTGACTATTTAATAAGTTAAAGGTTTCACGCCTAATGCTTTCTTTATCGCACAGAACACGAGCTAAGTAGGGTATGGATGAGTTTTTGTACTTACTAGTGCGAGCATACAGTTTCCTATATAGGGTTTGGTTTTCCTTGAGGAGATACAAGGGGAGAGTTGTGAATGAAGAGGGTGTTGTGAGTTAGATAAAATGGATTTAGCCCATTTTTACATGAGTTCATGTTCCTGTCAACAAGAATATTAACAAGCTGGTTAAGTGGCACGTTGCTTACCCTGCTGACAACCTTTAACATCCTGCGTAATAGGTATAGTCTTTCTTCAGTAGTCCAGGAAAAAATAAGGGGAAACAATAGAGAATAATAGGCAGAATACGGGAGTTAACAAATTGTAGGAGTAAGGGTTCGGTTACACCAGAATGTCGTAACTTCTTGATGTAGAAGGTAAGACGGAATATTTTCTTAGAAATCATCAAGATATGAGACGACCAGGAACGATCAGCAGATAGAATGACGCCTAGGTATTTAATTTTCGACTTGGTTTCTATTTCAGTGCGATCTATGTTGCACACCTCGTGAGTGCTAACCAGTTTGTTTAGGTCAGATTTGTGCCTAAAGGTGGTCAACACGCCCCACCAACCAGTCCTGTAGCAACATCTTACATTTGACAGCAGGAGTGAATTGTATGCCAAACATTCAAAGATTGCTGCCCAAGAATATTCTATCGATCAGTCAGTAGTGTATAACTTCCACCATCACTATTTTCAGTATGCCTGTGTGTATTTTGAGTGATAAAATGGTAAATTTTGGGGAAATGGATTAACTTTATGTCCTTAAAAGATATTAATGTTTACGTTTATGACTGTTCCTCGATTAAAATGATTGTTTACATTGCAGGTTGTTTGAAAACTGCACAGTTTATACTAGATATTATCGTCCTTGAGTACTTTTTTAAGTGCTTAACTCTGTTAGCAAGGAGATTTTAATGATAAACTACTTGTATGGGGTTATCTTTAGTATAAATTTCTAACAAACAATACTTAAATGGTGAGCTAATTTGACTCTGCAGTCTTACTGAATTCGCCTTTCGATTTACATTTACTCACAGTCAGCCAGATCTGTTTTTCTAAACGGATAATTTAAAGCTACTCACGGCCTTCAGTAGTGTGTTCTTCTCA